CATTTGCATGCTTTCTGAGAAGTCTTGCACAAACTTTAATATAATGCTAAATGTGGTCTAAGGCAACAAAAAGGTTTTGTTGTTTGTTTTTAAATCGAAAGTAACATGCAGTAAAATTAAATAAAATGACCTAATCTTAGGGTGGTAGATCTTGATGAGTTTTTACATGTAATCAGCAGCCAGATGGAGAACATTCAGTTTTAATATATTACAATTACAATTGCCTCTAGAGCCATAGTCTTTTAACTTCCTTGTTTTAATTTCTTCTTATTGGTGTATATCTCACACGTGAAGTGGGAATCATGGTGGGTGAAAGTATTTGTCACATCTCAGAACACCCAGCTGTGAGGGTCCTCCTTGGAATTTAAAGGAGGTCACTTAAGGCCACAGAGGAGGAAGTTGGCTTATTCTCATTTACCTCTTTTCCCCAGATGCTGAACTCTTGGTTGGTGGTTCCCAACCTCTTTTCTACCCCCACACCTGAGGGATACCACACACTCCCTTAGGATTAGTGGCTCAGAGTATCAGTGACATTTAAAGAGGGTGGGGGTCCAGTTTGAAAAAGCCGTGCACTCTGACGTCTGCCCCCACTTGGGTTGAGGTGTGAGACTCACTGATTGAGTGTTTCTCCCTTATCCAGGAATGTCACCAATGAGAAGAGACAGCTAGGTTAATAGCATCTCTGCTGTCTAAGAACCCATTTGTTAAGTGCACTTTCCCTTTAGCAGATCCACTGTTCACCCTTCTCCGCCCTTCTCTGTGCCCTGATAGGCTGACCTCAGCGCACTGCATTTGGCCAGAGACGGGAGAGATGGGTCTGGTATGCCTTCCCGGTGCCTTCAGCACTCTCTCTGGCAGTGGCTGCTTCTCTCTGTCCTACTGGACGGCCCTGGCTCGCTAGGCTCTAAGAACATCATTTCCTCCCCCTTCCAGCCCTAGGGGTGGTCATGGTTTCCGGCTGTTATTGGGCTAAGAGCACACAGGATCCCTTGTTGTTCTCTTAGCCCTGCCCACACCTCTAGATAGAGATTCTCCATTCATGCCTTTTCCTTTGAACCATCTGGGTTGAAGTCTGTTTCCTGATGGATGCTTGACTGATCCAGAGATCTTTGGACAAACAGAAATGCTACCATATTAAACAGTCATTGATTATAAGATGTACCCAGCTTTTAGAAATGTTAAAACATCAAACTGTGTGGCTTACTATAGCAGAACATTGGCAGATTCACTCATGCATGATGGATCAAGAACTGTTTATCATCAAGACATGGAGTTAGCTGCTGACCTTTCAAGGCTGGGAGCATGGGTAACCCAGCAGAGCACCAGGTAGAAAGTCACGTGAGGTGCTTTTGTGTTCAGCTCTGACCCCCAAAGGCTGGGAAATCCTCAGTGGACTGCCTTGCCACTGTGTTCCCCTGCCTCTGTGGCAATCCAGGGTTGACCAGACTGCTGTCACATCCCTGGCAGGGAGGCTGTGTATGTGAAAGGGCTTCATGAACAGTTCAGCACTCAGATGTGTAGGCCAGGGCAGCCCAGAGCAGGCAACCATTCTGGGACTCAAGTGGGGGCCCAAACACTGGCAGGACAAGGGAGGAAACTGGCATCTGCAGGGCAGGGAGGTTCCAGGAGCCCAGACAGGCCATGAGCAGACAGCCCCAAACCACCCTTCTCTGACCTCCTCCCCTTCCCTCACCTGAAGTGACCTTTCTTATGCTGAGTGAAAATGCTAGGTTATTTATTTATTCAGTGGAGAACTAAGAAGCACCTATAAGTGTAGGGCAGAGTCATGCACCAGATGAAGTCCATGGTTTCTGGAGGCTAGTAAGAGAGAAACAAAATTCCAGTAGGAGGCAGGCAGGACATGCAGTATCCTGGTAAGAGGAAGAGCCTGGTGTCATGGAGGATCAGCTGCACTTCCAACTGGGTCACTAACCCAATAACCAATTATCCTGGACAACCTACTTAATCTCACTTTCTTGATTTGCAACCAGGAAATGATACCCATCTCAGTAGTTTTTTTTGGGAGGATTGCATGACACAATCCCTGTCAAGTATATAGCCTGGTGCCTGATTCTTGGGAAGCACTCAATGAAGATTGGCCTCTATTCTTAGTATTTTAGTCCATGGAGCCAGAGGACCCTTTCTAACTGGCTGATCCTGGAATGATTCCCCTGGAAGGGGACAATACACTGGGCTTGGAGGCAGAATTCTCGGTTTGGCATTCACAGTTCAGCGGAGGTGCCAACTGGACCAGCGGGTCAGTCCGCCAGCACCAGAGTGCAGCTCTGTGTGTCCCGTGCTCCGGGGAGGGCCGAAAGGTGAGGGCTGGCTGAGGAACGCAGGCCTCCCGGCTGGGAGAGAGACCCAACACCAGTTCTGGAGCACGGCAAGGCAGGATCAAAGCGCTCCGGGGCAGGCCAGGGCGCACCAAAGGGAGGTTAGCGACTTGCATCAGCACAGATTCCGTGATGCTCTGCAGACGTCTCGGGTCTGCTGGGCTTTACGGGAACCCACAAGAAAGGAAAGGGCCAGGCAGCAGGCAGGGCGGGGACGGGGGCGGGCGAGGGCGCGAGGGTGCGCTCGCCTGCCCGCGCGCTCCCGGTGGCGCCGGTCCGAGCCTGGGCGCGCCCGGGACGGCGGAGGCTGCAGAGGAAGCTCCCGCTCCCTCTCCCCCTCCTCCTTTCCTCTCTCCGCATTACTGGAAGGACTGTGTGGGAGAGACCCAGAAGCACCCGGATTTCTGAGCGCGGGGTGGGGGTGGGCTGGGCAGTCGCTGCTGCTCGAAGGAAAACCAAAAGTGCGTGTGTTCGCGCCGTCTCGACAAGCGGCTGCTCCCGGGGGGCCCTGGGCGCCCGGGCTGCCCTCCCTTTGCAGCCCCGCCAGCACTCGCTAAGGCGGCCGGGGGGGTGGGGGGGTCGTGTGGCGCGGGAGCGGAGTAGAAGCGAGTGAGGTGTCACGATTTCTTCTCCTGAGCTCCCCCCCCACCCCCGCCCGACACCGTCCCCACCCCCAGTTTTCTGGGTTTCGCTGCAGCCGCTGGGGAAAGGGCTGATCGGTTTTGCGTCAAAGGACTGCATTTACTCAGTCCTGCTGGGAGAGGCGCGTAAACACCCTGGCAGGCAGGACGCGGGGATGGAAAAAAAAACAACTCAACAACAAATCCGCCAGCCCTCGCGGCCGGATGGCGCACCCACCTGCCCCACACCTCTCGCGGGGCGGCGGAGCTGCGGACTCTGCCGCGCGGGCCGCGGACGAGGCGCGAGGCGTCTGCCGGCCTCGCCTTGCCGCCCGCGTCCTTGGGGATGGAGCTGTGTCCAGAATGTGTTTTATAGCTGTAAACAATGACCCCGAGTATTGTTTGGGATTACCGTATCTTAGGGCCGTTGGGACGGCCAGATGCAGCCAGCCGTCCCGGAAACGCCAGCGCTTTATAGAGAGCCCCGGGAAAGCTTTTGAGTTCCCGGCTCTATTTTTCTTTCCTAAAACACCCCCACTTCACAGACAAGGAAACTGAAGACTGGATCTATGATGTGTTACAGTGCCCAGCGCTTCACAGTCTCCACACATCTTCGTAGCGGGTCCTCAAAGGACTGTGTTGCACAGATGGCGCCATATATGAGTTTGGTAAACCGAGGCTAAGGCACGGCTTGGACCAGACCCCAGGTCCTTCGACTTGTAGTACTCTGCTCCTCTGGATCATCTCTGCAGAAAGACTGACGTTCCAGAGCTGTCAAGGGCCTTAGAAGGTCATCAGTCCTAACTCCTTAATTTTATAGGAAGAAACTGAAGCACAGAGAGGTTAAGGGACTCGCCCCAGGTCCCACAGCTCATAAATAGCACAGCCTGGCCGTTCGTAGGGCCTGTGCTCTTTAACCCGTACCTCGCCCCGCCCTGCCCAGCTACAAGTCCGGCTATCTACTCCCTGAACTTCGCTCCAAAACAGCTGAAGACGACGTTGGAGCACACCCTCTCCCGGGCCTCCTTCCTTACCCGCCCCCCGTCTCCTGCCTTTTAAAACTTCGTACCAGTAGAGTTTGCTTATAATGCCCGATTACTCCTATTAGATGCGTCCTAATTGCCCGCATGGAGGGCGGCAGGAATGTCGACTGGTTAATTTCTTCAAGGCTACTCCTAACAAATTAATTGTAGGGCCAGGGGAGAAAAAAAAAGATGGGGGGAAGCAGTGGGCAGTCAGCCACGGAGGGAAAAACAGGGCGGCTCCGCCCGGCGGCGCCGCACCCCGCCAAGGCCCGGCCGCACGGTGGCGCGGGTTCCCTGCGCGCCCAGGGCGCCTGCTGCGCGGCGCCGCGGAGGGCGCCGGGGACCGTGCGCGTCCGCGCCCTCCCTGAGAGCGGCTCTGCGCGCCCGGCTCCAGGCCTCGCGGGGGCGTCTCACTGAGCGCCGTCCGTCTCGCTCTTCAGGACTGCGATGTTTTTGTGAAACCCGGCGCCGAGGCCCGCGCGGCCACTCTCGGGGCCCCGCCCCCGCCCCGCGCCCCTTCCCCGGGCGGTGGAATTGGGGGAGCCAGAGACGCGCGCGCGGGGGCCGGCGAGGGAATCCCTCTCCCTCCACGTCACCCGAAAGCTAGGGAACCCGCATTCGCGTCCTCTAACGCAGATGACCATCTTTGGCAACGTGCGCCAATGGAACAGACCAAGGGCGCTGGGCCGGTGGGGAGGGTGGTGGTGGGGAGGCGGGCGGGGGGGGGCAGGGCCAGAGCCGCCTCGGGTCTCTTAAACCGCGCCGGGGGCCCGCTCGCACCCCCGCCACCGCCGGTCTCCCGCGCGCACGGTGTGCGGCCGGCGTCAGTGCGGCCCGGAGCCCGGACGGAGAGGGGAGCGCAGCGCCGCCTCCTCCAGCGCCCGTCTCTTCCTCCTCCTCCTCCCCCCCGGGCCGCCTCCTCCCGCCTCCCCGCGCGCTCCTCCCTGCAAGGTGGAGTCTGGGGTTGACGTGAGTGAATCCACATGGTACAGGGGCTGGAGAATAAAGAGTGTGGAGTTGAACTCGTGCCATTGTAGTGACTCATCTCGGGCAGAGCGCAGGGGCTCCGAGCGAAGCAGCGAGCAAGTGAGCGGCGCCCGCGGGACTGAGAGGGAGAGAGGCGCGGGCGGGCGAGGCGAGGGGCGCAGGTCCGGCGCGGGACGCGCGGCGCCGGGAGCGGGCCGCGTGCCCCTCAGGCCGGCTCGGCTTGAGCTCCGCGGGGCGGGCGCAGGCCGCCTGCAGCCAGTCCAGTGTCCGAGCCGCCCCGAAACTCCGGCGGCGAGGCGGCCACAGGAAGTTTATTCTCAGCCCCTTTTCTAAAAGGAGGAAACAGAAGTTTCTCCAAGCGGCAGCCTTTCTTTTCGCTTGTTTTTTTTTTCTTCCCTCTTTGAAATAGGGGGCTCCCAGGCCTGGCCAGCGTGACCCCTCCTGGCTCCTCTTCTTTTTTAATCTCCAGTTTTTGCCTGGGCTCCGGCTGCGCGCGGCGGGGAGGGGGCCGGGCGCCGCGCGGACTTTCAGAGGGAGGGGCCGGGTGGACCCCTGGGCCCGCGGCGCGCGGAAGGCAGGGACGAAGTGCCTCGCTCGGCGCCCCGGAGGCACTGTTCCCGTAGAGTCGCCGCCTCCCGGGCCGCGCAGGCAAGCAGCGCGCAGCAGCCGGTGCGCGGCCGCGGCGAGCGCTGGGGAAGAAAGACACCCTGTTTCCTCTCGGGCCCCCACCGCGGATCATGTACCAGGATTATCCCGGGAACTTTGACACCTCGTCCCGGGGCAGCAGCGGCTCTCCTGCGCACGCCGAGTCCTATTCCAGCGGCGGCGGCGGCCAGCAGGTAGGTGCGGGGCCGCGGGTGCACCTGGCGGAGCGGGCGGACCCTTGCCTCCCTCTGCCGCTTTTGCTCTTTTACCTTTCTCGGCTTGGTGAGAAAATTCCTATGGGCCCCACTGTAAGTTCTGGACTTCGTCTTGTCCTGCCCCACACCAACCTCCGCCACCACTTTTTAAAAACTAGAGCTGGGAGTGAGCTCTGATAACCAGCAAACCCTTTCCTTCTCCCTACATCTCATCCAGACAGGTTGCTGGAACTGCAGGCCCCCTTCTCGGGAGCCTGTGACCCTCTCCCAGGACCTCCGCCGCCCTTCCACCGTCTTCCCTCTCCGTGGTGGACCAAAAAAATCTGCACCCGCTGGCCCTTCCTAATCCAGGGACGCTTTTCCTGCAGGAAAGCCGTCTCCCTCTCTTCTTTGCTCGCTCTCCAACAGTCTTAGTTAATTTCTGGAAGAGGCTGGGTACTCAGAAACATGGTTGGGTTCCTACAAGTAATCCGGAGTGAGGGCGAGGGTTGTCCCTCTGGGAATCAGGTGTGAAGGTCAGGAAGGAGGAGGGCAGCCTCTACAGTCTCGGACTGCGCCTGTGTGCCCTGCGCCCACACATCTTCTGTTAGGGTCAGAGTAGGAGCCTGCACTGGCACCAGAAGGGGTGCTTTGACGGTCTGCGGGCATCAGGGGCAAGGATGCCTGCAGAGAGAAGTCAGAGAAAGAGACCTCTTAGGCTCCTGGATGGTTTGGGAGGCAGACAAACAACTTGTTTCTAAAGCAGCCGGACTGGTTTGCACCGGAGGAATTGTCCACAAGATTTGTGTGTTTATGAATACTAGAAAGGTGCTGCTGGTGGGGTGGTGGTGGGGAGTCTGCCCTCTGCAGCAGCCACCCACCCACCCCCTGGCTTATGAGGGAGCTGGCCTTAACAAAACCACTACAACCTGAAGCCCGCCTCTATTCAGGATCTGTGGAATCTCTAGCCAAGCTGGCTGCAGCAAGAGTTGCTCCTGGTAAGGCAGTGGCCTTGGCCTCTAGAAGCCAACCAGTGAAGAGGGGCTGGGGTTTGCTTCCAGGGAAGGGTGGCGCCTGCTGGGGAATAAAATGGAAACACAGCTGTCTTTGGGATCCAAAGAAGGATACCTTTTCCAAAGCATCTTCCCAAACCCAGTGAGTCCCCCAAATGGCTTTTCTTTCTTCCCTTACCTCCCCTGCTGTCCTCAAGCACCCACTTGAGAGAGCCCAGTTGATGCACTGAGGGTGCAGTCAGTGCACCCTTAGTACTAAGCACCATCGTGATGAGTTTCAAATTTTGTCCTAAAAGTGTTTGATATTGTTTGTTCTCCAGCCCTTTCAGTGGTTCATACTGAGCCCAAATATCATTAGGCAATGGGTTAGACTTATTTATACCTATTTCCTCACCAACTCAACAGCCCCGAAACGTCCCTCTCCTCCTCCCCAAATCAGCAAAAGAGCTTTTAATTCCTTGTTTCTTCTGCTGTGTTTCTGTGGGCAGTCATCGTTGAAATATACAGTCTTGCCTCCTGGCTTTGCTCAGACTCTGGGGCCTAGATGGGAAGTCAGACCGGACATCAGTTGCCCCCATTGAATAATCTGTGTCACTAGGGCTTTGAGCCCAGGATGTGAGTGGAGGCAATTCCCTGTTTTGGAAGAAAATCAGACAGGAAACCAGTGCTAGGAAGAAGGAAGAGAACTCAGTCCAGCAGTGTAATGGGGCCTCATTACCGAAGCAAAAAGCAGCTGTTGGCTAATTCCTAGCATGCTGTAACACATGAGGATTTTGCAATTAGTGGTAACTACTGCACGGGGTTTTCGCATATATGCCTGACTGCTCGGCCCAACAGCTTCACTGAAGCGCCTTTCAAACCGCAAGGATTGGCAAGGTAATAACATTTTAGACGAGTTTCTCAGTCTGTTCACTCCGAGCGGAGGGAGATGGTAAGAGGAGAGGGAAGGGTTTTTCCATCATCTCTCCAACTTTGAGCAAAGCTGTTCTATGGTCCTAGGACTGACTTGAGAGGCTTTTTTAATTTCACAAGTCTATGCTATGACCCCACCCGCTCTCAGGCTCAAGGTAACTTTATTACATACCAGATGAAACCTGTAATCACTTTATTTCTCTCAGCTTCCTTTATGGGGAGACTTTTCCTGGCAGTTAGTGATGGGCCTTCCTCCTTAGTGGCGTCTCAGTGGACCAGTCAGTGAAAGAGAGTTCTCTGGCTTTTCCTCGGGCAAAGTGAATATTATTTTTGCCTGATGTCTTTGTTTGTGGGATCTAACATCCCTGGTAAGTTTGCTGCTGTTTACTCAACCCAGAACTTTCCTCCTTAGCTTCATAAAGATTGATCTTAATACACGGTCGTGAGTTCCAGTGACTTGGGTGCAGGGGGTAGTGGGGGAGCAGATAACTCTTTGTTGAAACCTCTGTTCTTGTATATGGCAGGAACTTGAAGCATGAAAAATATTTCCTGTTCCAGTTATAGTTTTAATCTCAAAGGTTGGTCATTGGTGATTTCGTTTTATCAGTAATAGTGGCACATGCCTCCCCCTCCTGGCTTTTTCTTTTTATTGTTGTTTTCTCTGTCTCCTAACTTTCCTAGGAAAACACCTCCCAGATATATGCCCTGCCTGGCTGCTCGACTCTTACGGTTTCAGGGCCTGAGCATTACGCAACCCAACCAGTTACACAAACATAGGTCATTTCATAACTTGTTTTCATCAGCTAGGCCCCCTTTTCATGAAAAAACAAAACAAAAACAAGACCCAGAACTTTTCCAAGGTTGTCATTTGTCTGTTCCTCAGATAACTTGTGAAAATAAATCAAGAGGGACAGTTCCTTCTTGGAATCAAGGAATACCAGACTATTGCTGTCCTTTGGCAGCCACCCTTTCCCAAGAAACACGCGTGCACGCGCGCACACACACACACAAAATTCCCCGGAGTGAACTTTTGCCAACTGTACCAGGCTGGGACATTCCTCACATCAAAGAACTTTTACCAGAAATGACTGTGATTCCTAAGTCAGCCCCAATCATACCTCTCTATCGCCCCCTATGGGACGCTCTGAGAAGAACTATCCAGGGAATGTATTTTTCCAGCCCCAGAAAGTGGTAACTTGGTGAATTTTCAGAATTCTTAGGATTTTTTCTTTTTAATTCAGGACAGATAAATGCGATATATTTAACAGTGATTAGGAACTGCTTGACTTCTAAATGCAGTTTCTTTCATTTTTTTCTGTTTTAAATAAAACTGGTTGAAAAGGAGTGCTTTTTCTTTCCCTGTTTTGATGTCAGTCCGTTTATTAGGGAGGAAACACAGTCTATGAATCCCCGAGGCTAGTTTTCTTGCTGTGTTTGTATTAGGACGCTGGGAATTGTTTCGGGAGGTGGTGGTCAGAATTGGTGGGAAGGTGGGAAGTGGATATTAAGGGTTTGGTGCTTTATTGTTCTTTTTGGGCCTGGATCTTACAGATGTTGTAGATTAGGATCAAACACAATGTTACCCCAGGAATTAATTCCACTGATTCTTGATGGTGGAAGTCAGCATCACTTTTTCATCAAAGTAAGTGGGGTGAAACAGCAGTCATGTATTGTGTGAGTAGCAGTTGAGTTTTCCTATCCAAACCCATGAGTGTGCTTCCATTACTTTATTTCTGCCTGCCTCATTATTCAAGGCGAGCGTAAAGCTAGGAAGCTCATTTTTTAAAAACTTTTCTTAGTACAAACACACCAGGACTTACACATCCAAATCACTGTTGTCCCTGCATAATTGTTCCTTAAGGTGACTAGTGACTAAATACTTGTCTGAATGCCATCCTATTAGACACAGAAAGTCTGCATATGCCCTCTGTGTGCCCCATTATAATGCCCTTCATTTGGAACTGCCTTTAGCAAATGCTTCTGAAAATACTTCCTGCTAACAAATCTGTGTCTTTTTGAGGGTGAATTTGATATTTGGAAGCTATCAAAAGATCTGGTCTGTCAGGAGCCTAGTCTGACATATAAGGTCTGGGTGGTCCGGCTGGGCCAAAGCAGAGTCTGACCCTGCGTCTAGTTAGCTTCTCGATTTCAGGAGTTAGCCTGGCAGAGCAGTCACCAAGACGAGGCACAAGAAAGCAGGCACCTTTGCATTCTATACCTTCAGGGTTTTTTTTTCCTCTTTTGAACAGGAACAAAAGCACTGGTTCGGGGAATTGAGGAAGCCAACTTTCTGGTCTATTTGTTGAAAGAAAGAAAAAAATAGTGTCGTTACTTTGTGGATATGTCTCATCCATGTAGTATGTGGTCTTTTTTGATGGCCGCAGCATTTCATAATGACAGCAGCTGCCCTGATTGAGGAAAATATATCTGTTCCCAGCCCAGCTTGGTAACCCTATGCCTCTTGGACTCACCGGACCGGAGAGGGGCAATGGAAGTGTCCTCTTGCCCGGTGCTGTCTCTCTCCCATTGTGTGCAGTGACTTGGCCATGCTCGCCCTGCTGTGGCTCTAGGGAAGATGAGGTGACATACCCTTCCCATTGAGTGTGGAGCTGAGGGTTGGTAGGGGTACAAAAGGCACACACAGATTAGTAGAGAGAATCCCCCCAAGCTTTGGGGCAGGGTTTCTGACCAGAAGGGCCCTGGGAGGAAAGCAAGTGGGGAACCTGGGGTTGACTCCCAATCAGCCACTTGCTTCTTTTCCTTATCTTTCCCTGACATTTAGAAGGAGGGGATAGCATGGTTCTTTCAAGTGGACCTGGGAAAGAGAGGAAGGTGACAGGTCACCTGCGATAGTGTGTGTATACTGTGAAAATTTGGGAAATTGTGAATTATTAGTAACCAGTTTTTACTGTGATATAAGTGGCTTTCCTCAGATAGGAATGAAAGGTCAAAGGGCTGTCCAGTGCAGAATCTATGAAGACTGGTAGAATTCCATATAGGAGGCTGAGGAGAACATCCCAGTTCAGTACAAATATAGAGTGCTTGAGTCAAACTGGACTTTAACTGATAGTCCGGGGCAAATGAGGCAGGGTTTGCCCTTATCCTTTTTCCCCTGAGCCAGTCTCCTGGGATATTGGAATTTTCCTTTCCCATGCTGGGAATCTAAAAAAGAGGGGGGTTCCTTAAGAGTAAAAACCCAGACCCTTCCTAGACATGTGTAGTCATGCCTGCCTGCTGAGACAGGTCATAGGCATGGGGTACATGGCTGGAATGCTTGGTGGCCTGGTTGGAAACCAGTCTGATAGAGAAATGCCTGTTGGAGAGGATGGGCCAAGAACACCGACCCTGGCTTCCATCTCAAATGCCATTTCTGCCCAGCTCAGGAGTTTCTGGGATAAGCCCTGCGCTATCCATGTCTGCAGGAAAAGGGACCCCAAACCCTACTTCCTGGGCCCTTCTACAGAAGGCCGTGGTTGTGACCCTCATTTCTGAATCCAAGGCCCTGTTGTAGAGTTCATAATGATCATTTCCCAGATCAGCAACTGCTGGGGTACAGGGACCTCTCTGACCTGATGAATTTGGGACTCTTGTGTTCTGAGTTGTCTTTTGCATAGGCAGTGGGAGGAGGACATGCATACTTACTGAGCAGCCCAACAGCACCCTTAAATACAGGGTGCTGCACGATAAAGGAGGTTCTGGTGCCCAAAGACCCACAGCAAGGCTTGTAAGGGCTCGAGCTTTGGCCTCAGGTCTGGAGACTGAATCTGATGGGAGAGAGTCCATCCTGTGACCCCTTGGATCAGAGGAATAGTTCTGAGTTTTTGTTTGCTCCTTGCCTCTCTTTATTTTTTTCCCCCCATCCTGAGCATAGGAGATGAGAATGATCCTCTAGAACAGAGGTCCCCAAACTATGGCCCATGTATTTTTGTAAAGAAAGTTTAATGGAAGTCAAGCACGCCAATTTGTTTACACGTTGTCTGACTGCTTCATGCTACAGTGGCAGAGTTGAGTAGTTGCAAAAGAGACTGTATGGCCCACAAAGCCTAAAATATTTACTATCTGGCCTTTTTCAGAAGAACTTTGCCAGACTCAGCTCTAGGAGATTGGTGGGCGCCAGTTTGTCCTTTTATAGGCATTCTTGCCCACCCAGAAGTCAACAGGATGACACAGTTAAATAAGCATTTAGAGGCTTTGCCAGGCTGGAATGCCACATAGCCTCCAGCATCTTCTATCCTGTCCCTAGAGGAGGAGCTTCTGGGCTGGGGGTGGGGGTGGTTGGAGAGCCCCAGGGAAGTCAAGTGAGGTCCAGGGTTACCTTGTCTTTGCTCCTACTCCCAGCGCACACCTGGCACTGCAGCAGGTACCAAACCTCTGGAATCCCCACATCCGGCAAACTATCTTGGTTTCTGCTCAGAGTTAAGTTAACCTGTTCATCGAGAACAGTGGTTTATCTCCAACATGACGTTTGACTGATTCTGCGTCCATGGGCACTGAACACCAGCCTGACTTCTGGGACTGCAAACTCCTAGCTCACTTCTCTCCTACCACAGTGCCACTTTCTGAATAACCCTCATAGTTGAGACAAGATACCTCTGCCAGATCTAATTTCAGTTTGCGTGTGTGTCTTGAGAGGCTTCTCCTGGAGACAAAAGCCTTCTTTATCAGAGCCCCAGTCCCCTCTGGGGATGGGACATTGTTTTCCTTGCAGTTTAGAGCCAGTGTGTTATCCAGATGGCTTTACCTCCCTCTGAAACCAGCTGTACATGCATTTAGAGGCAGTCATTACCTGCTGCCTTGTTTTTATTGCTGTCTTGTTTTGTCTAGACCAAGTCATTGCTGCAAAGAATCTGGCTGATGGCCGGGGAGCACGTTCTGTAGATCTGCAGTCACAGAGCAAGTGGACTGGAGGGCCCTGGGAAGGGCTGAGAGTCATCCGCTTGTTCCTGCGGGATCTTGGTCCCCAAGCTCTGCTTCAGTTTTTTTTGTTGCTTCCCCTAGCCTGAAATGGGAGCTATTTCTCATTTGTTGGAGTGAGGCGTGAATTTCCTGGGTGCTTTCCTGACAGTTCCCCCAAAAGGTGGAGGGTCACATTAGACCATGGCTGGATGCCCTGGGTATTCTTCAAACCCAGACGCTGACTTGGGGGGAGAAATGAAATAAAAATGTTGGGTGCTTCCCAGGAGCGGGAAGCCAGCCATTCTCCCTGGAGCCACCGCGTGCACAGTGCACAGACCCTTACCGTGGTGATGGTGGCAGTGGTAGTGGTGACGATGTCACCTTCCATTTGTTTGGAGCAGCGTTTCTCAACCCTGGCTGCTCACTGGAATCTCCTCAGGCATTTTTAAAAAATGCCTTATCAGAACCCCACCCTAAACCAGTTATTTTAGAACCCTAATGGTGAGGCTGGTTCCCTCATTGGTAATTTTAAAAAGCTCCTTGGAATAATGTGCAGGCAGGGTTGAGAGCCACTGGTATATTTTTATAGCCTGTGATTAACAAGGAGCTACTTACTTAATCCTCACGACAGTGCAGTGAGTTTGGTTATATTCCCCTTTACAGACAGAGGGACTGGGTTCTCAGTGATTCGCTAAGGCCTCAAATCCGGACAGTGCTGACTCCCCCTAGCCTCCCACCCAGCAAGCAGCCCACGAGAAACAGCCGTGTGGGCCTCAGGGCTCCTGTGTGTGTTGTGCCACACTCACACCTTCTCAGCGCTCTGCCTCCTCACGGCCCAGCCCTGTTTGTCCCACTTGTAGCCCTTAAAGATCATTTCTCACTCGGGCTCCTCCTCGTTCACTGCACCTTCCCTCCACGCACGCCGTGTATACCTACCTACTTCTTTTTAGTCAGTTCCTGATAAAAAGCCCAGTAGCCTGCCTTCTGAGGTGACTTGGACCCCACTGCGCCGGGCAGCCCTCCTCACTGAATGCCTTTGGCCTGCGGCCCGGGGCAGCCTGGGAGGTGAGGCAGCCCCATTCTACCACCCAGACTGGGGTCAGGCTGCTGCAGGGCAGTGAGCAGGGAAGGGACCCCCACTCCCTCAGCTATAATGAGGTGCTCCAAGCGTCACTTACACAGTAGGACCCCAGATGTCACCAGGGGCAAAGACGGTGGTGGCAGCTGCCATTGCTGCTCATACTTCTGGTTGGTCTGACTGGGCCAGTTTAGGGGGGAGGCTGTAGCATCCATGCTACTGATGGCGGGATTTCATCTGAGATCAGACAGACCTGTAGGGCCTCCTGGGTGAGAGGGAAGGCCTGCAGGGACCATTGGCAGGGCTGACCTGATGTTCTGAGGGCAGTACGGGTGGATGCTGGCACTTGGGGCTGGATTTCAGAAGAAAGCAATGCTACAGAAGCTTGTATAGTGCCATGTTTGAGAGCTGTGATCTCTCTGTCAGGCTGACCTAGGTTTGACTCCTGACCCCACTGCTTATTACCTGTGTGGCCTGAGATAACATAATCTCTCCATACCTAAATTTCTGCTTCTAAAATTGAGTTAATGGTAGTTCTTACCTCAAAGGGAGAATTAATGAGCTAATTGAGGTTAAAGCTACCTTGGTACCTGTCGTTGGGGGAGTGCTCGCTAAGTGTTCGTTATTCATTTCACCCACTAGGTTAGGGAAGAAAGGATTTGCAGACCTTTTTGTGGAAATAAGAATCCTCTGAGGATGAGGGTTCCATTCAGGGAGTGTTCCCCTGAAAAGCTGTAGGTGGGGAGTCCTTCTCCCTCCTTCTCTCTCTTCCTAGTAGCTGCCCTGAAGAAAGGTCAGGTTCAACTGCTGAGGAGCATGGCCCATTTCAGCTTTTGCAGTCTGTCATCATTTTATATTTAAACAGAATCCTTACTGCAGCACATTCCAGAGAGCTCTGCAAAGTGGTCTGGGCATAGATGAAGAGACAGGGACACAACTCTGAGCTAGCAGCACCAAAGTTTCCACAGACACATCTGTGAGCAGATAGGTGGATACGTACATAAGTAAAGAGACACAGCGCATCTGTCCTGGGCAAGATGGGGTGAGGAAGGAGGACAAGGACGCTAAGGGAAGCCGGGCAGCAAATGCTGCCACTTCCAGTCTCTGGGGTTGGAAGACACTGTTTCATGGGCCTGATCTCCCCATGGTGGGATCCCAGCCCCATCCTGAACCTGTCTGGAAAGTAACAAAAGCAGACACGATAAGCTTCCTGGTGGTCTGTGTTACTCTAGAGCTGTTGGTATGCAAATCTCCTTGAGGGGTCCTGAGCTGGTACCCTGGGGAATAAATGGCAGGTGGCCCAGGAGCTCAGGAGGCCAAAGTGGGAGGCTGGTCCTGCTGCTGCTGTGGGCATAGCTAGCCTAGGGAGTTACAGAGAGGGCCTGCTGAGTGTGAGCAGCAGTCATATCCTAGAAGTCATTTGGGATATGACCACATCCTTGCTAAGCCACCCCAGGATGGAGTTCCTAGGAGCTCAGTCAGGGAGCAGATCTGACGTGGGCCCCAGGAATAAAGGTTGCCCTGTTCTTGGGTGTGCAGGACCTGCTGGACATGTCCAGGGAAGCCCACTTGGTATCTTGACCTTGGCCCCCTAAGCACCAACTCTGCTTTCTGCTAGTTTTTGCTTCCTGCTTGGCTTGTCCTGTTCTGCTCGGTGGTTATTGGCTCAATGCTATTTTTCTCTTCATTTCAGAAGTTCCGGGTAGATATGCCTGGCTCAGGCAGCGCCTTCATCCCCACCATCAACGCCATCACAACCAGCCAGGACCTGCAGTGGATGGTGCAGCCCACTGTGATCACCTCCATGTCCAACCCGTACCCCCGCTCGCACCCCTACAGTCCCTTGCCGAGCCTGGCCTCTGTTCCTGGGCACATGGCCCTCCCAAGACCCGGCGTGATCAAGACCATTGGCACAACTGTGGGCCGCAGGAGGAGAGATGAACAGGTACAGCTCGGATCAGTGTAAAGGAGCCAACTTGGTGGCTTTCAGGGCCTCGTAGTAAAGACCGTTCTTCTGCAGACTGGTGGGAGCAAGGTCAATGTTCTGGGCACCCTGGGGAGAAGAGGGAGCCAGGGGCCAAGGGCACATGACCTTCACTGGAGGCAGAGCTGGAGACCCGAGTCAGGCCTGGCTCTGTCATCCCACCCATGTCCCTGAGAATCTGAGTCTCCATTTCCTCTGTGCGAAATGGGGGTAATGGTGCCTGCCAGCCAGGCCTTGTTGCCACTACATGAGATCACTCGTGGGAAAGCATGCTGTGAGTGGCAAGGTGTCAGCAGGTGGGAAGGACAGTTAGGACCTGCCTGCTGCAGTTTCCTTCTCTGACCCTTGTCAGAGGGATCACAGGACAAGCAGCCAACGATCCCCAGCCGGGAGCTTTCTTGGATTAGCTCTTAACTGGTGCTGATGAGACTTGCAGCAAATCTAAAAGGTCAGGCACCAGGCCGGTACTGCCCACAGTACTTTCCGTCCTCCTCAGTGTCCCAGGCCTCCAACTCAAAGCAGGAGCCCGTTTCCAGAGCCTGGAATGCATCTTGCAGAAGTGCATCTGGGGTCTCTGGAGTCTACTCAGCTGCTTTAGCTGACTGTGAGGGAAGGAGGGTAGATGTCAGCATTTTTTTCCTCGAGGGGCTCAGCTTTGAGAAGGAGTCCACCTGGCAGGCAGGGATGCCAGAGAGTTGGTGGAGGGGGCCTCTGCTGTCCAAAAGCATCTGCACATAGTCAAAAGGCCCATCACCTGTCTCAACAGCGAGCCAGGGCAGTGATAGGCCCCGATTCCCCAAAGCAAAATCAGAATCATGCCTGATTCCAGGAAGGAGGGAAAGTGCCTTCAAAGAGTCCCCCTTCACAGATCACACAGCCAAGGCCCAGACATGGCAGCCTGGGGCCACTCAGCAGGTGAGCGGGAATTCTGGGTCAGAGCCCGGTTCCATGGGCTCCCTGTGCAGCTCTGCTATCCGCGGCATCACGCCACCATGAGTCCAGGGAAGGGAAAATGCTTGAGCAGTGGAATCCCTTTTACAGTGAATGTTCTCCCAGAGAATGGCCTCAGTTCCAGCATCAGAACGCATCCCCGTTTCAACCATTGTCCACCTCTACTCCGGGTTCCCCAGGTCTACAGTGTTCCAGTTCATGGACTTTCCAAAATGGTCCCCACTGGGTAATCATAGATCCAGTGCCAGTGGTCCCCAAGATACAGAGAGTCACAAGAATTGCTGCTCAGAGGAACTGGAAGCTTTTGCAGGAGCCCTGTTCCCAAGGACAAAGCTGGGCCTTATGTCTGCTGCATGCTCTGGTGTTTCATTAATGCAGGCCCAGTGCAGGGCAGCATGGGGAGGTGTGTGTCATAGATACTGTAAGAGCTGCAGCTTGTGGTTGCAGATGGGCTTCTGCTGGGGCAGTGGCTAATGTCCCCACTGTGCTTTCCATAACTAGTTGTAAATATTGCAGTAACAGTGGTCATAATGTCCTTTATTAATCTGCTTCCTTCAGAAAGTCCAAGGTGCCGAACTTCATAGCTGGATTCCCCCTCTATTAAGTGATCCCCGAGTGAGAGCCTGTTTTCTGAGGAACTCTGTTGGACTGGCAGGACAAGACAAGCTGTGCTGGACACTTCTCATTCTTTGCTGGGCCCAGCTTACACCCACTTTAGAAGTTGATATCTGGAAAGGACTTTGGAGACCAGCTTTTCTAATGTTCCCTCTGTACCCATTTTACAGAGGAGGAAACTGAGGCCCAGAAAGGAGAAAGGCCCTGTCTAGGGTCACATGGTGAGCTAGTAGCAGAGCCAGGACTGGAATCTATCTTCTTTGACCTTCAGCCCTGTGGTTTTCCACCACTTCACCTAGGCAGGCCCTAAGACAATCTGTCTGGAGAATTTCCTTCCTTTTTTTGAGAGGGAAGGAGAGAGCCAGGAATGTTTTATCCCATGTCAGTTAGTTCAGACAGTTACCCGGCAGCTTAGAGGGAGCCTGGCAGGGGCACCCTGGAACCCTGTTGGCTCTGGGGCTCCCTAGCCTGAGGTCTTCGTTCTGAAGCTACCTCTGCCTTCCCAGGGGAGGAGCCTGTTAGCAGGAGCCAGCCTGGGGCCCCACCCCACCGGAGCCTCCAGAGCCTGCCCTGAAGGCTCCTGAGGCCACAGGCAGTGAGTGAGGAGGCACTGAGGGGAGGGAGTGTGTGTGGCTTATGGATGGGTACATGGTGGTACTGACACATGCAAGCTGTAACCATTTGCTGTCACTGTGACGCTTCCTATGCTGACAGCTCCCATAGGGAGAGACTTCTAGGCCAGTAGGGAGGCCAGAAATTGTCCAGAAGCAGCCAAGCGGGAAGAGAGGTCGAACTGCCCCTTATCAGTGATGGGGGTGCTCAGCTGGCTCTCAAGGGGAGCCCTGGCAACCCTTTCAGTGGGGAGCCCTGAACTCAGGCCTGCAGCAGGGCCATCAGGCTCTCTTGATGACTACTGAGCTCAGGTTGAGACAGGTTTATGAACAGCAAGTACTGGGGGTCTCAGCCAAGTGGCCTCACGACCTCTGCCGGGCAGCTGACCCCCACACACAGCAGGGTGGCTCTGGGCCTCCAGTTGATGTGGACTCTTTGAGGACTCAGAAGAAGCATCAGAGGAGACTTGTGAATTGCATCTTCTTTCTAGCACTTTCTAGTTTGGAGAGCGCTCTCACAATGCACCTCATTTGATCGCCACAGAAACTCTTTCGGGGGCAGGACAGTCCTTTTAATCCCGTTTTACAAAGGGAAATTGGAGGCCCAGTTCAGTGATTCGCCCAACGCCACACAGAAATACCCTCTCTATATTCTATACCCAGTTGGCCTGATACCTCTCAGAAGAGAGAATGTGGAGAGAGACTGGCTCTCCTGGGGACAGGGAGGATTTTAGAGGCTGGGACTGTGGACAGGGCTTGAGGGAGGAAGTCAACCAGGACTCGAATGTGAGACTCCAAGACCAGGTCTTTGGAAGGGACCTGAAGACTAACAGAGACATGACCAACGGGCCGGCTTGGTGCGCCTGCAGGGGGTGAGAGACACAGCTGAGGGGGGCACTGGTAAGAGGGAAGCTGGGCCTGGGGCTTCATCCCCGGGGCAGCGGAGGAGGTGAAGGGGCACAGCCGGGGCCTGCTGGAGTGAAGGAGGTCCCTGAGGCGGGTGCAGTGGGCAGGAGCACACGCAGGGGAAGCCCTGGGAGGGGGGCCCTGAGCCGCCAGGGGGCCCCAGGTTTCTCCAGCCTGCCAGGCTTCCTGCCTCCCTCTGGGCCTTGCATATTGACTGTTGGGGGAGGATTCGGAAGTTGAGAAGCTGTGATGAACTTCTCTGTCCAAATGCCTGATGCCCCAGAGAGACTTCCCGTCTGAGCAGTCACTGGCATGTTTCATGCCAGCATTTGGAGAACGAGGTGTGGGGCTCTGCCACCTTGGGTCACCTCGGTATAGACAGGGCTGGGGTTCCTCTCTGATGCTGTGTCCTGCTTTGCTGTTCAGAACATCCCAACAGCAGAGCTGCAGGGCTACAGGGAGTGTGCTGGGGACTCGGACCTGGGCCCAGCCAGGAGAGTGGCTCCTGCTGTTGTGGGGTGGCTGGCAGTGGAGGCAGCATCCCTCAGTGGGGGAAGCCTCTCTTGCTCCCTTGAAAAGTGGCTTTGGCTGTTTCCCTTGAGGGTAGGACCCTCAGGATCTTCTAACCCCTGGTATTGCACTTGGCCCTTAGTACCTGTGCCACGCACGTCTGATAACTGAATGGGCTGGCCTTTCCTTTTTGAATTGCTTTCTGCCTTGGCCCACAGCCGTCTCCTTGTGTCACCTCTGCCTGCAGGGGACACTGGGGTTACAGCCCTGGAAGGGCTGTATGTAAACAGAACCTCAGCCCCTTGTAGTGGAGCACAGCTCATGCCCTGAGGCAGGAGTCACAGGCCCCCAGCCAGCCTGGTTGTAGTGACCTGGATTGGAAGCTCTGCAGGGGGAGTTTTGTTTGTTTGGTTCTCTGGTAAATCTCAGACCCCCTCAAACTGATCCTAGCACATAGGAGACACTCATTTGTTGAATGGACCCATGTGGTGGGCAGCAGGACTGAATGTGCCTGAGGGTTCCTTTCCCTTCTGCCTGTTGGGCCCATCCTGGCCTACTGTGCCTGGCACACGCCGAGTCCTCCAGGGTGAACTGAACATCTGGCACTCCAGGGCTGCAGAGGAGGTCAGGAGTGGGGTCGGCATCCTTGGCCTTCGCTTTGGCAGCAGAACATTCCCCCCAGGCTGGTTCTTCTCTGGACCCAGCTTCTTAACAAAATGGGGATAAAGAGGCTTGCGAGCAGAGGCAGCGTGATGGGGGAGTGATCAGCCAGGGTTTGGCAGCACTGCTGAAGTGGGTGGGGCCAGGCCTGACTCGCACAAGGGGACCCTGGGGGAAGCTGTCCCAGCTCCTCCTCTCTGGACTTGGCACCAAATCAGGGCTGACACGACAAATGCTGCCCTTGTGCCTGGGCTGCTGAGCCCCTGATCATTGCTGCCGTGCTCTCCCTCAAACATGGGACACCGCCTTCCACAGGCGGTCAGCTCTGAGCGCCCGCTGGGCTGGCCACACGGCAGAGAGCTGCGTGCTCTGGGACCCCTGACCCTGGCTGCACTCCCCCTGCCTTCCTCTCCCCGGTCCCCAGAGAGTTTCTCGCCCTACTTAAAATGCAGTTTAAAAGAGAAAGCTGGTGAACTGTTTACCCGAACCTAATCATGATCCTCCACCTTGGCCCTTAGCTCTCCCCTGAGGAGGAGGAGAAGCGTCGAATCCGGAGAGAGAGGAACAAGCTGGCTGCAGCCAAGTGCCGAAACCGACGCCGGGAGCTGACGGAGAAGCTGCAGGCGGTGAGGAGCCCACGTTGGTGGAGGCGTCTGGGTGGGCTGGGACAAGGGCCGCAAGGCTTCTGGCTCCCCCACCCTCTCCTTGCCCACCACTGGCCTGCAGATGAGTTCGTGGTGACAAATCGTTCTCCCTTTGAGCACATGGGTTAGCGCTGCCCTGATTGAGAAAAGAGGGGGATGGAGGCCCAGAGGAGAGAACTGGACAGGCTCTCAGGCCCAGCCCCCTTTCTCACTCAGTGCCTGAATGTCCCCCGCTCTCAGACCTGCCGGGGCTCCTGAGCGCAGGATGGCCGAGAGTGCTGGCATCATGGGGCCCAGGAGCTGGGCAGGCCCACACCTGCAGCCCTCCAGGGCTCCTTCTCTAGGTTCCAGCTGCCCCCAGGCCGACAGCCAACTTGAGGGACATAGTTCGGGCAGGGGGATGCCTGCCGTGTGGGCTCCTTCATCTCTTCAGGGCTCTCTGGGTCTCGCGGAGGTGGGCCGCGTGCCAGCTGAGTTGTTCTGTTTGTGGTTTTTCTAGTATCCTTCATGGGCAGGAGGCTCCCCTTCCTTGACTATGAGCCTTAAGCCATCGCCTTGGTACCTTGTCCTGCCCTTGTGAGTCACTCTGTCCTGATGCCAGATCGCCCACACCTGGGTAGAGGGAAGCTGGGCCTGGGGCTTCATCCCCGGGGCAGCGGAGGAGGTGAAGGGGCACAGCCGGGGCCTGCTGGAGTGAAGGAGGTCCCTGAGGCGGGTGCAGTGGGCAGGAGCACACGCAGGGGAAGCCCTGGGAGGGGGGCCCTGAGCCGCCAGGGGGCCCCAGGTTTCTCCAGCCTGCCAGGCTTCCTGCCTCCCTCTGGGCCTTGCATATTGACTGTTGGGGGAGGATTCGGAAGTTGAGAAGCTGTGATGAACTTCTCTGTCCAAATGCCTGATGCCCCAGAGAGACTTCCCGTCTGAGCAGTCACTGGCATGTTTCATGCCAGCATTTGGAGAACGAGGTGTGGGGCTCTGCCACCTTGGGTCACCTCGGTATAGACAGGGCTGGGGTTCCTCTCTGATGCTGTGTCCTGCTTTGCTGTTCAGAACATCCCAACAGCAGAGCTGCAGGGCTACAGGGAGTGTGCTGGGGACTCGGACCTGGGCCCAGCCAGGAGAGTGGCTCCTGCTGTTGTGGGGTGGCTGGCAGTGGAGGCAGCATCCCTCAGTGGGGGAAGCCTCTCTTGCTCCCTTGAAAAGTGGCTTTGGCTGTTTCCCTTGAGGGTAGGACCCTCAGGATCTTCTAACCCCTGGTATTGCACTTGGCCCTTAGTACCTGTGCCACGCACGTCTGATAACTGAATGGGCTGGCCTTTCCTTTTTGAATTGCTTTCTGCCTTGGCCCACAGCCGTCTCCTTGTGTCACCTCTGCCTGCAGGGGACACTGGGGTTACAGCCCTGGAAGGGCTGTATGTAAACAGAACCTCAGCCCCTTGTAGTGGAGCACAGCTCATGCCCTGAGGCAGGAGTCACAGGCCCCCAGCCAGCCTGGTTGTAGTGACCTGGATTGGAAGCTCTGCAGGGGGAGTTTTGTTTGTTTGGTTCTCTGGTAAATCTCAGACCCCCTCAAACTGATCCTAGCACATAGGAGACACTCATTTGTTGAATGGACCCATGTGGTGGGCAGCAGGACTGAATGTGCCTGAGGGTTCCTTTCCCTTCTGCCTGTTGGGCCCATCCTGGCCTACTGTGCCTGGCACACGCCGAGTCCTCCAGGGTGAACTGAACATCTGGCACTCCAGGGCTGCAGAGGAGGTCAGGAGTGGGGTCGGCATCCTTGGCCTTCGCTTTGGCAGCAGAACATTCCCCCCAGGCTGGTTCTTCTCTGGACCCAGCTTCTTAACGAAATGGGGATAAAGAGGCTTGCGAGCAGAGGCAGCGTGATGGGGGAGTGATCAGCCAGGGTTTGGCAGCACTGCTGAAGTGGGTGGGGCCAGGCCTGACTCGCACAAGGGGACCCTGGGGGAAGCAGTCCCAGCTCCTCCTCTCTGGACTTGGCACCAAATCAGGGCTGACACGACAAATGCTGCCCTTGTGCCTGGGCTGCTGAGCCCCTGATCATTGCTGCCGTGCTCTCCCTCAAACATGGGACACCGCCTTCCACAGGCGGTCGGCTCTGAGCGCCCGCTGGGCTGGCCACACGGCAGAGAGCTGCGTGCTCTGGGACCCCTGACCCTGGCTGCACTCCCCCTGCCTTCCTCTCCCCGGTCCCCAGAGAGTTTCTCGCCCTACTTAAAATGCAGTTTAAAAGAGAAAGCTGGTGAACTGTTTACCCGAACCTAATCATGATCCTCCACCTTGGCCCTTAGCTCTCCCCTGAGGAGGAGGAGAAGCGTCGAATCCGGAGAGAGAGGAACAAGCTGGCTGCAGCCAAGTGCCGAAACCGACGCCGGGAGCTGACGGAGAAGCTGCAGGCGGTGAGGAGCTCACGTTGGTGGAGGCGTCTGGGTGGGCTGGGACAAGGGCCGCAAGGCTCCTGGCTCCCCCACCCTCTCCTTGCCCACCACTGGCCTGCAGATGAGTTCGTGGTGACAAATCGTTCTCCCTTTGAGCACATGGGTTAGCGCTGCCCTGATTGAGAAAAGAGGGGGATGGAGGCCCAGAGGAGAGAACTGGACAGGCTCTCAGGCCCAGCCCCCTTTCTCACTCAGTGCCTGAATGTCCCCCGCTCTCAGACCTGCCGGGGCTCCTGAGCGCAGGATGGCCGAGAGTGCTGGCATCATGGGGCCCAGGAGCTGGGCAGGCCCACACCTGCAGCCCTCCAGGGCTCCTTCTCTAGGTTCCAGCTGCCCCCAGGCCGACAGCCAACTTGAGGGACATAGTTCGGGCAGGGGGATGCCTGCCGTGTGGGCTCCTTCATCTCTTCAGGGCTCTCTGGGTCTCGCGGAGGTGGGCCACGTGCCAGCTGAGTTGTTCTGTTTGTGGTTTTTCTAGTATCCTTCATGGGCAGGAGGCTCCCCTTCCTTGACTATGAGCCTTAAGCCATCGCCTTGGTACCTTGTCCTGCCCTTGTGAGTCACTCTGTCCTGATGCCAGATCGCCCACACCTGGGGACCCATGCCCTGCCCTGCCCTCTGGAAAGCTTGACCTGACCCACATCACGTAACTCCCGCCGGAGTGTAGCCCTGTGGGATGGTCCACGTGCCATGCGGAGGAAGCCCAGAGCCAGGGCTGAGTCCCCTGGGTTGGATGTTTTCAAAGTCAAGAGGCCTGGAGACTCTGTCAGTGATCCTTACAGTGGCCGGCCCGGGTGGGGCCCGGGAGATCACCCAGCACATGCCATCACTTTATTTCATCCGCCCAGGTTGCATCCACCCGCTTGAGCTTCCCTTTGTCCGCCTGGAGCCCTCACCCTTGGGTATTGAACATACACCTTGTGATGCCTGTAGTGATGTCCCATGGGGGTGTTAGTTAGAATCGGGGCAGAGTGGAGGTCTCCGGCACCAGGTGGGGTGGATCTGTCAGTGACCAGCGCTCCATGAGGAGACTCCCCCAGAAGAGCCCTCCTCACCACGAACCCTGCCAGGAGCCAGGCCCTGTGGTCTACGCTGGGCACTCCTCACCACCAGCCCCACCCTCCAGGGTCCCTCTGCTTTCCTCTACTCTCTCCCCCAGAAGCCTCACACCCTACCCCCCAGCCCCCGTCCCACCCCGCCCCCAGGCCCCTGAGCCACATCCTCCGCAGGAAACCTCTCATAAGCTCATGACATCAGACCCTTGAGACAGATGGAAACTTTTTTTCACTCCGGAATACTCTGTTCTCTGCTTAGTGACGCTTTGGCCCGTATCAGCTCATTCTTGAACAGGAATCTGTGTTAAGGAAATAGTGGGGAGGAGCTGGTGACATACCTTTTTGTCTTCATAATGACTCCCTCCACGGGCATTTGCTCTTTCTCTGGCTTTGCGTAAAAAGGAGGGGCTGAGGTCCTTGCAGTGGGGCCCCGCCATCCTCACATACCCGCTCAGGCTGTCAGGTTCCTCAGCTGCTGAAGCACTGGGGCTGAACTGAATGTTCTCCCAGGCTTCTGCGAGTCCTGAAACACTTGCTTCAGAAATCAGAGCAAGAAAGGGAAGTGGGGCTGTGATGAGCCGGCTGGGGTTAATGGAGCGTTTCCTACCAGCCAGGCACTGTCCTAGGCCTGTGTGTGCAGGCAAGTCTCCTCCATCGTGGAGCTTGGAGTTCGGTGGTTTTGTGTCCACAGGCAGGCTGGATGGGGCTGAGGCCACAGGCGGAAAGGAGGTAGAATGGCATGCTGTGCCCCTTCCTCCTCCGGACTTCACCGTTGCCCCCTCAGGGTGAGGTGCTCCTGCCACCACAGCAGTAGAGCGCAGTAGCGTATGAACTCTGGAGTCTGATGCCTTGGGGTCAAATCTGGGCTCCCCTACCTGCTTATTCTGACACTGGGCAGACTACTAAACCTCTCTGAACTTCAGTTTCCTTATCTGCAGAATGGGATGATGGTAATACCTGTTTCAAAAAGTTGTTAGAGGATTGAATGAGATAATGCCTATGAGATGCTTAACATGGTGCCTGGCACAATAAAAGTGCCCACTCATAGCAGCTACAGTTGTTGTTTCACCCTTTCTCTAAGCCAGTGTTCTCCTTTCTCAAACTGGAGTTTAAGAAATAAAAGGAATCTTGAGCCTCCAGGTAGCTTAGACCAGGAGGGTCTGTGGCCAGGTGTGTGAGCTGGCTGCTTCTCTGAGGACATTGCTGGTTTTCCTTTTCTTGCCTGGATTTGAACCATCTCTGGAGCTCCGCAGCAGGTCCCCAGCAGGTTGCTGTCCCTCACACACCTCTCTTTCCCCTGCAGGAGACAGAGGAGCTGGAGGAGGAGAAGTCGGGCCTGCAGAAAGAAATTGCTGAGCTGCAGAAGGAGAAGGAGAAGCTGGAGTTCATGCTGGTGGCCCACGGGCCCGTGTGCAAAATCAGCCCGGAGGAGCGCTGCTCACCGCCGGCCACGGGGCTGCAGCCCCTGCGCGGTGGGAGCGGCGGAGTGGGTGCTGTGGTGGTGAAACAGGAGCCGCTAGAAGAAGACAGCCCCTCGTCATCGGCGGGGCTGGACAAGGGCCAGCGCTCTGTCATCAAGCCCATCAGCATTGCTGGGGGCTTCTATGGGGAGGAGCCCCTGCACACTCCCATCGTGGTGACCTCCACACCTGCCATCACTCCAGGCACCTCAAACCTCGTGTTCACCTACCCCAGCGTCCTAGAGCAGGAGTCACCTGCGTCACCCTCCGAGTCCTGCTCCAAGGCTCACCGCAGAAGCAGTAGCAGTGGGGACCAGTCTTCAGACTCCTTGAACTCCCCCACTCTGCTGGCTCTGTAACCTGGCTCCCAGGGGGTCCTCGTCACTGCCTCTTTCCAGGGACCAGCACCTTCAAGCACTCCAGGGCAGTGAGGGCGAGAGGGGACCCTGCCAGAGAGCCTCCTGGCTCTCGGGGGGGGGACCCAGGTGGGATTCGGTGGAGAGGCGTTGGAGGACTCGGATGATGTCTTGGAAGTGATGATGGGACCTCCTCCCACGTTCATGTTGCAAAGCAAATCCTGTGTCTTGAAAAGCCTTGGAGAACTTGGTTGGTAGACTTGGGGCATCTCTCTGGCTCCTGAAGAGCCTGAAGCTGGTGTGGCCGGTTCCTGTCCCTTTGTTACAATAGGTCTCTGGAGTGATGGTGTCTTTCCTGCCCCGCCAAGCATGCTCGGTGCCTTTTGGTGTCACCTTCCCTCTCTTTGCCCCTTCCTCCCCCCAAGTGTCAATTTCACTTCCTCTTGGTTTTTATCCAGTTTGCCATGACATTTCATCTGGGTGGTCTAAATATTAAAGCTCTTCCTTTCTGGAGATGGAGCAGCAGGTGACTTCTGGGGCTGACTTGTCCAGAAAGGGACAGTCAATGTGCAATACAGACCCTTTCCTCCCATGACACCTCCCGGTGCACCGCCATCTCCAGAACCACCAGCAGGGCCCCCTGAGCTCTCCAGGAGGTGCCGCCATCACTGGGAGGCTTGGAGAGCCCTTCCTTCCCACCCTCTGACATGGCTTTTGGAGGAGTGGCTTGGCCAGAAGACAGGGTGTGAGTGAGACAGCTGGAGCACAGGTTGGGTTTGCCAAATGCCTAATTACCAGGTCAGGAGTAGTGCCAACAAGCCACATGGGTGTCCTATGCAGCTTCCCTTCACCCGGTGTCTTGAGCAGGACGTCTCCTTTAATTGCTGCCTCACCATTCTGCCCCGGACCCTTCTCTCCAGACCAGGGAGGTGTCCCTCCCAAGGAACCCCATGTCACTCCAAGTCCCTGCTGGCTCCACCCTCCCTACACCTGGCTGTCAGGGTGACGCCACCCACAGATTTAATAAGCGTGGGCCGGGCCCCTCTCCAAGCCTCAAAGGCACCTTTGTGGAGGTTGGAAAGGCAAAAGGGAGAGAGAGAGACAGGCGGAGAGGGATTCACCTCACAGCATCCCCAGCATCCCCAGCACCTGGTGTCTCGCCTCCCAGACCTCTTCTACCCTCTGTGGTCTTCTATTGCCTGCTGGTTGAATCAAGTGCTTTCTCTTTCCTGCTCCCCTGCCCCTTCCCCACTGTGGCCTCCAGTCTGGTCAGCCAGCCGTGCACAGCTGGCTCAGAACTTTCTATGACTTATGGCTTATGTGTCATCCCTGGGGGCTGCTGAAATCAGATAAGACAGTTGCTTCCCACCGCAGGAGAGCTGCCCCCTTCCCCGAGGGAGGGGGTGAGCTGGGGTCCTTCTGGCCTCCCGCAAGAGCATAGCCCAGCATAGCTCTGCATGATCCCTGCCCTCCCGTAACCCCATCCTTTTCCTCCCAAGGGTACAGCTCCTGCTGATCTTCCAGAATTGGCCTCAGTGTTGCTGTGCTCTGAGGGAGACCCACTGTTGTGATGCAGCTCTAGAAATCATTGTATGATAATTTAAACTATATAGATATTATTTAAATCAGATCCAATGGGAGCTCAATTTCAAAGGTAGACTTGGAAGGAAAGAAGAGAACTTGACACATGGGCTCCCCTGATCCCTTCACACAGCCAGGCCTCAAGCGCTGGCCATTATTTAATGTCCATTACCCCCTTACCATGCACTAGATACAGGAGGGAACAGCCAGTGCTGAAAATACATAGCCCGCTATGACTGGAAGTGATGTGTGCAAGCATAGGCTGCACAGACAGAGGAGCTTAAAAGGAAAGGAGTTTTGTCCAAAAATACTTTTTAAAAAAATGTTATTTTCCACATTCCTTGGCTGGGATGCTGCTCTCACATTTTCCCAGAGGTTCTGGGAGGGCAGGCCTGGCGGGTGAGGGTGCTCTTAGTAAGATCAGGCAGTTGGCTTTCTGGCTTCAGATTAATCAAAGAAGCAGAAGTCAGCCAGGAGTGGCACAAGCAGGGTGAAGAAAAGCAGGCTCGCAGCTCTGAAGCTTAATCATCTCCCCTGGTTTTGTGGCCGATTTGGAGCTATTTGCTTCTTTTGCATATGTATACATTACTTAAATGGCACTGCTTTCTGGTGTTTTATTTCTAAAAGCCCCCACTTGGCACTGCCAATGCAGGTCACAATCTGACTTGGGGCCAGACTGGACATTCCTCAGACAGACTTTGGATTTAGTTGAGATCTCAAGCTGTGTTGGCTTTGGGACCAGCAGAAGGCAAAACCCCAGCCACCCCATGGGATGTTAGGCGCCTCCAGGCTGTGTGGCCATTCAGGACCCCTCTGGCTTTGTTCTAGGGGGTGGTTTGGCTTTTCCAAAGCCAGAGGTTGTTTGGGGACGGCTGAATATTCACACCTAACTCGTGAGCATATTTTCAGTTATTTCCTTCTGGCTTGTTCTCCAAGTTCATGTACACATACCCTTGCTCCAGAATCGCCAGACACCGGCCTGTTGCTTCCTCCTCCGTGGCCCCAGCTAAGGGAACAGCTGCAGTAGGGGTGCCTCTGAGTGTGACTGGGACCTGCTGTGCCTCCCCTGTGTCCCCAGCCACGAGGCAGCTGGTGTGGAGTCCGGGTGAGCTGCAGGCAGCTCTGGGGCAGCATAGAGCAGACACTCCTTGACAGGCTAGTGTGAAACAGTCCTCTCGGCCACCCGGCTGGCCTTTCTGGGAAGAGTCCTCTTCCTGCCTGGGTGGATGGGGACAGCTGCTGGCACAGGAAAGAGAGGAGATCCCAGATGAAGCCTAGGAATTTGCAGGAGCCAACTCTACACACAGAATTCACTGGGGAAGTTTTCAGAAAGAAATCATTGTTTTGCCTGTGAGAAAGGCCAAGTGTGTGTGTCCACTGTGGCCATCACACACAGCCAAGAGCCATCAGAGGCTCCTGCTCCCCTCTCTCAGGCCTTGGGGAGAGGTGTCTCCTCTCACTCCCACTTGGCTCCGAGTTTCAGGGTGGGCTCAGTCGTAGACACATTTAGGACTTTTCTCCCCTCTCCTTGATGGACCAACTGTGTTCCCTGCAATCTTACCACAGAAGCTTCCTGTTGATCTCCTTCCCTGACCAGATGTGCGCATGGCCCCTTTAAGAAAGTAAAGAATATGCACCTACTATGTGCCAGGCATTTTGTTGGGCACAAATACACATACATATATATATAGATAGATCTCCTCTTTCAGAAGAGACTAAGGGATGAGGACATCTGTTATTAAAGGCCCCCCATGTAATGGATAAGCAGAAACACTTGGAGGTGAGAAGGTCTTTCTTCAAAGACAGAGGCAAGATTGCCTTCAGTCTGAGGTTTGTCCCCAAAGACCGCCCCCTACAATATCCTCCCACCTCTAAACCTCTTTTCCCTCTGTGAAGTGCTCTGCACTCCTCAGATGGTTAGAGGGGTAAACTGAGTCCTTGTAGAATTTGTGAACCAATAAGATATATGGTGTATGTAACTTTCTTTTAAAAAGTTAAGTAAAAGGGCCTTGCTATTTTCTGCTTGTTGAGTCTCCTTGGCATTCATCTTAAAAGCCAGCATCTCACTATTTATTGACAGGTTGGTGTGTATGTGTGTACGTGTGTGTGTACATTTCCAGGTGTGCCCATGTCCTCCAGCTTTTAAAAAGGAAACCTAGTCAGTCATCCCACTACTAATTTGATACCTTCTCATGCTTCTAGTGTTTTGACCATACATCAATGAAAGGTCTTAATTTTCCAATGTGGACACGTTCAGGAGGGTCTGGGTCAAATTTTGAGCGGGGTTTGGGAAGGGGAGGAGGAAAAGAAACCGACATTTGTTTTATTATTTATTTTAAATGTTTACATCTTTGTGTTGTACCAAGCCTCATTAGAAACAGCATTAAAATACCCAGTTCCTCTCTCCCTCTCTGCTTCATCTTAAAAAAAAATTAGGCTAATGATGCTTTTTGGTTTTCTAAAATGATTTGTGATGTGTGCTGTATAAACTGTATAAAAAGGTTCTGTTTTTAAAGATGGACTGTCATTCCTCTGGGGACAGTGACCACCGAGAAGTCTACATTGTAAGAGAACACAACGGAAGATCCTGCCCCATTCCTCAAAAATTATTTTCTCTGTATGATTAAAAGTTTATTCCATTTATTTTAGTTTGTGGTTACTTGATGTCAAGGAAGAAGATATTCGCCTTTGTGTAAAGTAGGTATCAGGGTGTCCTTTCTGCAGTGAGAGATGTATATATAGTATTTCGGTATATAGTGGAAAATCATATGCTTTGTGCATCTGTGTTTGAGATGTCAATGATGTGGCGTTAAGTCTGCTAGAAGATCTTGGGGGCAACAAGTTGTATGAGATTCCTATAGCTCTGGGCAATGTAATGACCTTCCTGAGCACCTTTTCTTGTTTTGTTTTTTTTTTAAACTATTGGTGAAATGGTCCCATTGGAAAGGCTTCTACATAGGCCTTTCCAGGCAGGACTGTGAGCTTAAAAATCTTTGTATAGTTTTGAAAATTGAGGAGTAGCTCTGCTCTGAAGCATCTCTGGTGGTGTTTTGTTGTTGTTTTGTTATTTTACTGTAATACAAGCCTACAGTATTTGCACTAAAGAAAGCTTGTTAGAAAAAGCTTGCTGCTATGGAAGAAAGAACATATTAAAACTTTTTCTTTGTGGTTTTTTTTTTTTTTTGGTTAGCTTTTCCACTTTCAACTGAATAGCATTTTGTAGAATAAAATGAATTAAGATTGAAGAGCCTCTGATGGTTGGTTTATTCCATGTTTTTTTTCCCCTCTCTCTCCCGTTGCTTCTCTTCTAGTTTCTGCCTTTGGCCTCGTGGGTAGAGTCAGTCTCTAGTGGGTAGGGGAAGCAGGGAGTGGCTTTTATAGAGCCTCTTCCTGAAAAAGTGGGAGGTGGGCTGCTGGGAGGGGCTTAGAGCTTGCCAACCTCCTTTCTCGGGCTTCTCCCAACCCCTCCCAATGCTGTTTCCCACTTCCCGGCCTGATTCTCAGCTAGCTGCCAACTACTGCCAAGGTGTGAGCCAATAAAAGGTACTGTCCCTTTGTGGGGGTATTTTGTTTGAACAGGTTGACTCTGGAAACCCAAGAATCTTCAAAGAACTAATTAAATGTATTGCTAAGATGATCCAGGTGGTCAAATGAGATCACAGGCTGCAAAGGGCACTGCAAACACCTGAGGCATGCGAGTAAGTAGATGATCACAGCTCCAGGTTGCCTTTATAAAAAGACGCACGCTCTCGGGTATGGGACACTGAAAAGTGTGAGCCCGGACCCCACCATCCTGTCGACCAGGAAACCTGGGGTAGCTGGGAACATCTGTTCTGGGGTGCTCTTTTCTTGCAGTGTAAATGGTAGGGAGGCAAACGTGTCATTAGATAATGCTCTAGTGGTTGGCATCTGGCTGGGAATTAGCCCCTGAAATAACACCACTCACCCCAATCTGCTTCAGACAAGCTCAGTGAGCAGGCTTCATTCTCCGGACTCTGAAGAGAGGGGCCCTGGATCCCAGACCTTGGCATCTGGCTGGGAATTAGCCCCTGAAATGACACCACTCACCCCAATCTGCTTCAGACAAGCTCAGTGAGCAGGCTTCATTCTCCGGACTCTGAAGAGAGGGGCCCTGGATCCCAGACCTGCTCCCTCTGCTCGTCGGCTCTTGAGGTCTGGAGAAAGCCATTTAACCTCTGAGCCTTAGTTTCCTCATTGGTAAAGGGGGGGGGGTGATGATCATATTCTAGGAGCGCCCACGTCAGAAGGATTGCAGGATCTCCTTTCTCTTGAGAGGGCTCGGGGCACTCGGGGCGCAGCCCTCAGAAGCCTCAGACCCAGGGCTTCCAGGGAGCTTTTCTGCCTGAGTGGAGGATACAGACAGAGTCGGGGTGGCTCAACGGAACCTGTATTTTCCTGAGCAACTGCTGTGTCTTCTTACAGTATGTCAATGGGCACATGCTCAGAACTTTCACACGGGCTTCTGTAGGCTTTGGGGATGGTGCCATCCAGAGAGAAGCATGTGCTCATGTGTCTGTGCCTGCCTTTCATGCCTGGGCACTTCCATAACATTTTTCATTTTCCAGTAACACTTCGAAATACGTCTGGCTTGTTTAAATGTCTACTTCTGCACCCACATAGTTAGAGAGGTCAGGGATTGCCAGGCACTTATTAGATGGAGTCTTAAGTAATCCTGCTTCTTTGAGCAATTGCAAATGCCATAAAAGCATCCAGACTTCTAAGCATCCAGCTTTCCAGCTCTTTTCTTGAGAAAAGCAGTCAAGAGCCACCATGCCTGTTGGTTTCCCAAACCTAACGCGTTGTCTGTCAGGGAATTTTGCAGTCACTGCTAAGATGAGGTTGTCTTGGTCCAAACCTGTTAGATGACCTGGGTTGATGGTAAACTCTATCAATTCTGTCTCCAACAAAGTTGGAATTTCAAGAATTAAGCAGAATTCTCTCCCCCGGTGACAGATGTCTTGGTGTGGGATTCCTAGGGTTACCCCTTTTGCTGGATGTAGAGAACCCCATGTGAACACCACTCTGTCCCCAGGTTTTCTTTGTTCATTAAACCACCACCGTGTAAGGGAAAAGGGATTCCTCCTAGAGGTGGTATTTTCCAAGACATTCAGCAACGTTTGTCTCTTGGGCTACTGAATGAGTTGATGTATGCAAAGGATATGAAAATGTACTAAGTACTAAAATGAGGAGGAAATCTAAGTGGTAAAGACCCGTAGACTTTGGTTGTAGTGCTGGCGGATGCAATTCGACTATAGTACGGCTCCACGGCCATGTGTCTGAAATGGAAGGGTGTGTTACAGGATGAATGGGCTGCTGGCCCCGGTGGGTTGGCCGCACGCCTGATTGGGGGCTGCTCTTGCACCTGCCCTTCATCTTGCTGACAGAGAGTCTGTTCCTCCCCTGACTAGACAACAAAAGGACTGTTTCCTGAGAAGCTGTGAGCTGTTAGGACAAGTCCACCCAACCTTCTCTACAGTCAGCCTTTGCTTTTGCAGAACCCGTCCGGAATGGAGAGAAGCTGTAGCCCATGACTCTGCCCTCTGGGTGGGATCCTCCTCCTCCCCCTCCACTGGGCCCTGGTGGACAGATGGCCCAGGGAAATATATGGGCTACCCTGTGGGTGGTTGTCTCTGGAAAATTCCACTCATTTAAAGGAAGAAATAAAAGTTGCTTCAAGCTCCACTCTGGAACTAGAAGGCCCTTCATCAAACTCAACACCTTGACCAGTCCTTGGATCAGCCAAAGGAGACACAAGCAGAAATACAAATACTTGGCAACGGTTGGCCTGGCTTGCAGTGGCGCTCAGCTGAGTGTCTCTGAGGACATTTTGGGACATGGCCCTGCTTATACATGGCAGACCCCATTCCTTATTCAAGTACTGTGGGACTTGTGATCTGGGGCTGTTCTAGAGTATAGCAGTGCCTTGTCCTGTGGGACATTTAGAAAGTACTCAGTATTATTAAGTGCTAGGTAGTCTTTTTGAGGTGATATTCACATAACATATAAGAAATCATTTTAGACTGAACAGTTCAGTGGCACTTGGTACCTTTGCAGTGCTGCGCAACCATTACTTCCATCTAGTTCCAAAACATCTTCATCATCCCAAAAGGAAGCCCTGACCCAGCACATGGTTGCCCCCCCACCATCTGCCCTCCCCAGGCCCTGGCAACCACCACTCTTGCTTTCTGTCTCTATGGTTTTATGTTTAGGTAGTATTTGTGAGAGCCCCAATGACTATTTTCTGAACTAAAAATAATCATGAAACATTAGCATGGAAAATTAATAGCTAGGAATAGTGATATAATTTCCTCCTTATTTTAGTGCTTCATAGGTTTTGTATGTCTTCATATACATGGTCTTGTTCGGAAGCTCAAGAGACAAATGTTGCTGAACGTGTTGGAAATTATCAGCTCCAGGAGAAATTCCTTTTCCCTTACGCAGCGGCATGTCTGGTACATTGGCAAATACAGTCACTACCTTGAACTGCTGCATAAGGCATGCATTTATTTCTCAAGTAAAGGTGGAATAATCCTGAAAAAAGACGGACTTTGTTCATTGATGAAAACAGACACCTTTTTCATGTTGTAAACATAGGAGAACTGCATTTAATAAATTAATGTGTAGATGGGGACTGTCACCATCATATTTTTACAGGTCTGAGGGAGGGAGAAAATATTCATGCAAAAATATTTTTGTGTCCCCACTAAGTGCATGACACCAGGAAAGGCACTCCGGGGCACAGTTGTGTAAGAGACTATACAAAAGTATTACATAGGGAGTCTCTTTGCTTCCCAAATGCTTTTGTTGGAAATATCAATTAACTACTGAAGAGGAGATGCATTCAAGGAATTACAGTCTCAGAGAGAAAGGACAGGGAAGACAGACATTTATGGCAGAGGCATTACGTGGTTTGGCCTGGGGCAGGTGGGGGGTTTCAGAGAAGATTCCACAGTGGACGGGGCCCTGGTTAGGAAGGGAGTGGATGCCTGCGCAAGACAGTGTACAGAGCGCGTCCAGCAAAGAAAATAGTCTGAGCCAAGACCTAGTGTGGAAGGGAAGTGTAAGGCAGCTCTGGGGACTGGAAAGGAGTCCCCAGTATCTGGAGCACTGACTGATTTAGGAGATGATGGGAATTTAACCTGAGATCTTGAGGGCTACAATGACAGGCTTAATCTTTTCATTAGTCAGGCAGTCATCTAACTAGTAACTTTTTGTGTCAGGCACTGTCCTCTGGGCTGGGAGATAGAGGTGATATGGAAGTGTGTGTGCATACAAACACGCACCCCTCCACTCCTGCACACACCAATGGAGAGAGGATCAAGTAGAGCTGACCCTTGAACAGTGTGAGGGTTAAGGGCACTGCCACCCCACCCTGTGTAGTCAAAAACCTGCATGTAACTTTCGACTCCCCCAAAACTTAACTACTAATAGCCTACCATTGACTGGAAGCCTTACAGGTGATATAAACAGTTGATGAATACATATTTTATATGTTCTGTGTATTCCATACTGTATTCTTACAATAAATAAAAGAAAATGTTTTTTCAAATTGTTGCATATCTCCAAAAAGTTTTCCAATATATTTATTGAAAAAAAATCTAGATATAAGGGGACCCTCGCAGTTCAAACCCATGCTGTTCAAGGGTCTACTGTAGTTACAAGTTCAGTCTCAAAGAGATTGTATAGGTGTCATGGCGAGCTATGTAGCACTAGGACTTTCTCTAAGCTGGGGCAGGGGCTGGTGGTGGGTTCCAGAACTACTGGCATTTAAGCCAGAACCCCGAAAGTAACTGGAAATGAGAGCTTTATTTTGAGGTGTTGGAAGCTGCAGAGGGGTTATCTGTGGGGTGGGGGTGACACAGCCCCAGTCACACTCTGGGAGGATTAACACAGCAGGTGTGCAGGTGAGGGCAGGTGGGGTGGGATAGGAAGGAGGCCAGGGCAGGGGTCCAGAAGGAGGCTCTCCCACCGCCCAGGACAGAGCCCCAGCTGGTGGTGGAGTTGGAAAGGCATGAAGGTGCTCCTAGGGAGCCCGAGATATCGGGTTCCAGGCCTGGGAACTGGGGGCAGGAGGAGGAGCTGGTGGGTTGCGGAGGCCAGGTCCTGAGTTCAGCTGTCTGCATACCGATGAGTGGTG